TGCAAATGGTATATGACATGCCCCCCTTCTTCGGCTGTCAATGCCCCTGAATCCATCAGGTTTTGGATCTTGCGCTTCAGCGCCTTATAGTTCTCAGAGGAATGTTTGGAGCATCCTATGTGGCAACTACAAATAGCTTCAACATTGTAGCCCTTAGGATATGTGGACTTTTTTCTCAGATCATCTTGGCAGGTTTAGTCGTACAACCAGCTGATTGGGCTCATTCGTTGTGATAGTTTTTTATGATGTTACAATCTTGCTTCCATGTGGTGTCATGTGGTTAAAACCACTTCATCGAATTCTCCATGAAGAGATTTCATGTTTATGAAAATACTTAAAAATGAAATGTATATGCAAAATGAAAAAATGCATGAAATGTTCGAGGCATTGATCCAAAAACATGTATGTTATTGTAAATAACCTTTATTGGGACAAAAGTGTTTTATCTTTTAAGAGACAATAAACATATTTAAAGGTACATCCGGACTAAATCCTCTAGGCCCGGAACCGGTTGACTAGTCATTTGCCTTCGTCTTTCACTGGTTGAATAACCTGTCGAACCGCTCCGACCTCTCTGGATAAACCGTGAAAATGTTGAGTTTTTTTTATATTGGTTCCCAAAAAGTGTCGAATGACTTCATCTCTGGCTTTCATCCTTTGCTGAATCGGAAATTCCATTGAAATCCTCCATCAAAGGGATTATTCGAAGTTCATTTGCTTGTTTCTTGAATTTGTCGACAGTGACTTGCCATCTTGTTCTTGTTGTCTTTGAATGGACTCTCGAGGTCAGTAACATTTTTCTCGTCTTGCCCCTGCCACCTTTGTCAACCCATTTTTGAAAAGTTAACTTTTGATGTACTTGATTGTGGGCACCATGAATGTGACACATAGTTGTCTTGCAAATTGTCCTCATTTTCTTTCTGAGCCTTTTCGGACCATAGCCGGACCTCTGCGTTCTTATCTCTTGTATTACAACCCCTTTGTCCATTAATGCAGATTATTCATGTTTTAACAAACAAGTTTTTGGTGGATCAACACCTCTTTTAAATGATGCAAATAATGAAAACAAAATAAAAGAGAACAAAAGTAAAATAGAGTTAGTGAGATAAATCAAAACAATAATAAAAACGAAAAATCCTACCCCACATGATATCTACCCGCATGCTTATTATTCCTACCCGGACATGATCTCTATCCCGTAAGTTGGTTTTGAACAAGTCCTAACCGCATAAATTTCTAGTTTACATGCTTTGAACAGAAAGTAAAGCAGGAAATAATTCTGGCATCCTAGGGTTTGAAATGAGGTCTTGGGGTGGGCCCTAACTCCTTGTAGTCTCCGGGTTTAGGTTCTAAGAAAAAGTACCCGAGTTCTCCTTGCTGGTGCCCCCTTGGGCTTACCAGACCCTTAGTCCTAAACCCATCACAGGCTTGTGTGGACTAAGTTAAACTCGAGAGGACACATTCCCTTATGCCCATACGGAGAATAAATTCACACGAAGGCATAAGGTATATGAATCCCGATGGTTACTTGCTAGGCCCATACGATGAATAAATTCACACGAAGGCGTCGCTTTCACCCCCACTTAAAACGGGTTCGGAGCTCGGGTATAGAGCCTTTAGATGAAAAAAAAGAAAACTTTGAAGGCTGAAATCATGAAAAAACGATTAGTCCAACTATTTACTCGAAAATAATCAAAAGTAAGTAAAAAGGATCGAAATATTACCTTAAAATCTAAACTTACCATTTTCGTTAAAAAGACAACTGGAAATTACCTTAGCCTGACTCGCTTACCTTATCCCCAGCGGAGTCGCCAAGCTGTCGCAACCGTCTTTCGGTTTGGCCCCGAGAATTGGGCTTCGACTTAGGGAAATTGATTGGAGTCGCCACCGATTATTTATTTTAAAAAAAAAATAGGTTAATCGGATACCTTATATCTTACCTGATCTGCGTCTTACCAAAGATATGTCGGATTCGGGAGTCGGTTACAGTCAAGGAAGGGTTAGCACCCTTGAACTGCCCTTTCGGTACTGTGTAATTTCCAGTTGTCTTTGATTAAGAAAATTATAAGTTTAAATTCAAAGGTAAAAATAAGATCCCAGTTACTTACTACTGATTGATGAAAATTCCCTTAAGATTTTAAGGCTGTTAGACTTATATTGAGATACAAGATCGAATTAGGAGAAAAAGACATGTAACTATGAGAGCAACAACAAAACAGAAAAGAGAAGATAATAACGTTAGTAGACATGAAAATAGAACAGAATAAATTAAATGGTAATATGAGTGGATATTTAACAAAGAGGAATAAGATTAAATATAAAAAATAAAAATAAAAAAAACAAGAACAAAACAAGAATAAAAACACGGCGAAGACAAATTAAAAAAAAAAATGGCGTATATATATACATAAATAAGTATTCTTAAAAGAGACAAAATAAAAACAAAATAATATATACATATAAATGAGTAGAACAAAAGGAAGATAATAATGTAATGACTATAATAATACATATATATATATATATATATATGAAAATAAAAGATAAAATATGTATAAATAATAATTTGTAAAAATAAAAAATAAAAATAAACAAATAAAATGATATATACATAAATAATAATATTAATATTGAAAATAATAATAATAGTAATGGTAAAAAAATAAAAGAAAATGGTAAAATATTCGTATGGGATCAGATTGAAATAAAATCCAAATCAGGGGACAAATTCAGAAGAAAATCAGATTCAAATTCAATTTAGGGATCAAAATGGAGCTGATTTAAAATCAGAGGGATCAAAATCGAGGTTTACCCTTTAACAGAAATACGCGGATCCTTCCCCGGGTCGGGTTGACGCGCGGGTCACCGTACGGGCTGAGTATAAAGCCCAACATTTCTTTTTGGACTTTCATTTCTCTTCTTTCTCGCCCGAGAGCCCTCCCCTATCTCTAAAGTTTCTCTCGTTTATTCAACCGTGTTCTTCATTTGAAGAACACGGCCACCGCTGAAATCCAGAAATCGACCAATGGCCACCCCGCGCCGCCTCGCCGGCCGCCGTGAACGGTGCCGGTCGTCGTTCATCGGCGGTAAACCCTAAAATTTTATTTTTTCGAAAGCCCTTCACCTCCTCGTTTCAAAAAACCAAAATCGTTTCTTTAAAAAGTAAGCCTCGGGGGCCAGATCTGGGTTCGAAAATCCCGACCTATACCCCTGTTCATCGGCTTTATTAGCGTATTTGAGGTTTGGAACGAGCACAAAACGGAAACAAAACACGAACAACTCCCACATGCAAGCGTATCAAACAAAAAAGGTAAGGTTTTTACCTCTGTAGCCTTCGAAGTTTTCAATAAAACTACTTGGATTGCTTTGAATATTGGTATAACTTTGCTCGAAATTTTTTTGTTTCGAAAGTTTCTGTTTTTATTTCCTCTTTTTTATCCCTCCCCAAATGGGTTTGATTACATTTATTTATAGCCTCGATTTTCTCTTTTTTGGACCTATTTGAATCCTACTAGGACTCTAATATTTGCCTGTTGACTGTGCGAGATCTTTGCATGTTGTTGGTGGTTGTCGTGAAATCCGGTGACCTGTTGTGTGCGTGGCCAGAGGCGTGAGATGTGGGGAGTCTGACTGGGGCATGTGATGTCAAAAACGGCGCTGGAACGGGCTAGGTCTCGAACAAGATGAAACCCTAGATGGGTCTGCTGTGGACCGTTGGATCTCACCTAGATCCAACGGTCATTGAGCAGCGGCTGGAAGCAGAAAACAGGGTGAAACCCTAATCCTCTACGCGGGCTGCTATACTGGGCCATTGTTGGACCTGAAAACAAATATAAATAAATGTATTAGATATAAATGGATATATAATTTATAATATAAAATTATATAATATAATGAATGATGAAATTTAGTGTCTTTATAAACAAATAGTTTTGTTTGCTTGAATGGCTTGACTCGCCTCTAGTATAAATTTATATATTGAAATAGAAGTTAAATGTACACAAATTGTCCTTAAATTATACCATTTTTCTCGCACATGTTTAAGGGCTCTTCTAGGAGTGAGAAAGACAGTAAAGTAAAAATCAATCTGAAGTCTGAACCATAATGTTTAGACTAATATAATCCAAGGTAATGAGAACCAAGATTCCTTCAATGTCTCCTTTTCCATCTCTCTCATCCACATGTCTTTGGGAATAAAATCCACAAAAAGACCAACAAAAAAGCTTAAAATAAATACAAATTAAAACAAGAAAGTCCATCCGCAGGCGTTTGCCTTTTCTTTTTTGCCATAGTGGATTCTATGCTGCGTTCCAGCTCACTTCTTTTACTTTTGTGTATTTTTTAATGGTTTCTATAAAAAGATTTCCTGTCCTCTGTAGTATATTTCATTTGCCCTGTGAAATAAATGCAAATACACAAATGGTCTCCATTATAATGTATTATTTTAATATTTTTATTATTAAAAATTATAAATAGATTTTTATTATAAAATTTTGTTTTACTTATTATTAAAAGTTATAAAATAAACATCTGATTATTTATAGGTTATAAACTTATTTTTTCTATTAAAAACTTAACAGTCATCTAAATTAGATGCATGATTTATCTTAACTATTTTTTACTCGAGGCAAAATTAAAAATTAGACTCCTAATTCATTTTTTTAAGAAATATGTACTACAAAAATTTTTTTTTTGGATAAGTGAAGTTTATTCATCCAAAGAAAGCAGCACAGCTGCTACAAGAAACATTATATTAGCCCCCAATTTTGGCACAGACGCCTATTTACATCATCGACTCTATTAATGTAACCCTCATACAAGTTAATACGAACCACCTCTCTAATACTATTTCAATAGAATCAGCTGAACGAAACACTCCTCTAAAACTCTTGTGATTCCGTTCCTCCTAAATAGAGTAAACAAACTCGGTCCAAGCAAGCTTGAGTATATGAACTAAGAGGGATTTTCCCTTAAAGTGCAGAATCATCCAACGAATCTCATCATCCCAGCACCTGATGCTTCAATTCACAATCAAGCAAAACAACACACCATATCTCAGACGCAAATGGGCATTCAAGGAATAGATGGTTGCGAGATTTTTGACCTACCCCATACAGCACACATAAACTGTTGTTAACCACAATTCCAAACCTACCTAATCTATCCTTAGTAGGAAGCTTGTCGAGCAGAACCATCCAAGCCATAAGAGAAAACTTGGGGATATGAGCAGGAAACCAGATGAGTCTATGCCATGCAACCTTGTCACTTCTTTCGCGGACACTACCCCATATCCACCTGCCATTGACCTGAGATAAGCTAGCCAAAGGCCTAAATAAACGCCCAGCCTCCTCCCTCAGCTTAATCAACTTGCTGAGAATCTAGCTGAAATGAGGTTTACTAACCACAGACCAATAATCAACAGACTTAAAACAATAGCTCTTAATCCACACAATCCACAGTGACCCTTCCCCCGCAAGGATACACTTAATAAGCATTAGACAACATGCTTTACTCCAGTCAGCAAGCTTCCTTAAGCCCAATCCTCCCTCAGATTTAGGTGAGCACACCTGGTTCCAGCTCACTCTAGCACCACTAGCAGAGGTGCCGCTGCCTCTCCAAAAGAACTTCATACAAAGCTTCTCAACATCCCTAATGACACCCTTAGGCAGTATTAATTATCTACTCCAATAACCAAACAAGTTGAACAAGACAGATTTTACAAACTGAAGCCTACCCCCATAACTGAGTTTTCTGTTGGACCACTTATCAATTTTGTCCTTAATTTTCACCAGCAATGCCGAGCAGTCCTTGCTAGTGAGCTTACGTGTGACCAAGGGCACCCCAAGATATCTAACAGGAAGCTGACCAATCCTAAAACCAGTGGCTCTCTGAATCAGCTCAACTTTATCTTCTGATATCCCACAAGTAAAGAATCCAGTCTTTGTAGCATTCAATCTAAGGCCAGAAATCTCATAGAACTTGTCCAAGAAACTAACCACCCCCACCACAGAATCCAGTGATCCATGACAGAACAAAAGGAGGTCATCAGCAAAACAGATGTGAGTGAGGGGATTTTTTTTGCATTTTGGGTGGAATCTAAACACATTAATCCTGGCAGCAACATCCAGCAGTGAGGAAAGTACATTTATCATAATCGCAAAATGATAAGGGGAAAGGGGATCGCCCTGCCTAACCCCTTTAAAATACCCCACCAAACTACCATTCAAAGAAATAGAGAATCTGGGGTAGAAATACAAGCTTTTATTCAACCACAAAACACCTCAGGCAGCCCCGAAGCTTCAAGAACATTCATCAAGAAGTCCCAACAGATTGAATCAAAAGCCTTCTACAAGTCAATCTTAATTGTGCATCTAGGAGAAAGGTTCTTCCTAGAATATCCCCTAACTACTTCCTAGAATATCCCCTAACTACTTCCTGAGCCAATAAGGTATTGTCAACAATATTCCTACCCTTAACAAATGTTGATTGATTAGGGGAAATCATACCAGGAAAGAACAAAGCTAATCTAGTGACCATGATCCTAGTGATTGTCTTATAAATCACATAACAGCAAGAAATGGGCCTAAATTCCATGGCCATACATGCATTAGGGGATTTAGGCACTAAGACAATGGAGGTGGCATTAAAAGCAGGTAAAAGGGAGGAAGATTGGAAGAAGTACCTTACAGCCCCAATAAAATCATTGCCAATTATATCCCAAGTGACCTTGAATAACCATGAGGTATAGCCATCAGGCCCAGGGCTCTTATTTTTCCCCTTCCTGAACAGTGCATCTTTGATTTCAGCATCAATAATCACTCCACCTAGGATATCCTCAGCCCCAACAGGTAAAGAGTAATTTAGAACAGACTTTAACCAGTCAGTAGGACAGCTCTTCACTATGGGATCAGCAGTACCTATAAGGCTTTTGAAAAAAATTTCCAACTCAGCTGCCATATCCTCAAAAGTTTCATGATATCCTAAAAAATATGTACTACAAAATTTTTATTAGAATTTCTTTTATTAAATTAAACAAATAGTAATTTATTATATTATAAAAAATGTTTAAAAATGTATTTAAATATACAAATACTTATAAACAAAACATTGTCTTAGAGTATTTCTTGATGCTAAATCATTGATTATAGCATCAACATCAATACTTTCAACATATTTTTCTCAATACACAACATAACATTTGAAAATAAAAAAACGATCTTATTTAGAATTTAGAAATATATAAAAATCAAAAGAAATAATTTGAAAAATATGATCTTACCTAGAATTTTAAGAACAATCTTTAATATGATTCAAGCACCATAATCGATGATAAAAAGTTATAACTTTGTGTTTGTGAGAAATTAAAAAGTGAGTATAATAATTTTCAGATGAATTGTGAAATATAAAAGAGAAAAAAAAGATTAATTATATTTAAATTTTTTCTCCCATTGAGCTTTGAAGAGAAGTAATACTGTTAATAAAACTTTTCATTGATATGAAAAATTGAAAAAGTGATTTAGTGCATTGTTGGTGAGAATTTAGAAAGAACAAAATTAAAGAAATTCATTGATTTTTTTATTTTAAGAAATAAAAATTGAATCAGAGTTATAAAAGAAGTATAATAGTTTATTATTGTTAACATAAAAATTTAATAATGACAATAATACCTTATTAAATTTATGGGCCCATTATTTTATTATATAATTTTTATTAAAGTTTATTATTATATATAATTTTTTAATTTATAAGCCCTGAGCAGCGTCCCTCTTGCCTTGATCCAGGGCAGGCTCTGGTTAAATGTTAACCTGTTAAATGAAATATAATAAAATTTGATCTCAAAATTGTTTGAGCTATATTTTGTGGGTCGAATTTTTGTTTATATTATATCATTCAGTCAATGCTTAAATACAACATCGATACCAATAGATATTATTAAAATATAATTTTATCATATCTAGATTAGTAAGCTAACGTCTAACTTAGACGACTATCGTTTTAACGAAAAATAATAATTTTAGAATATATTAATAGTAAAAAGATCATTTCACAATTTTTAATAAAAAATTTAACAAAAGAAATTCTTATAATCTAGATATTATTGTATAATTTTAAAAAATTAAAGATTCGATAAAATAATATCATATAATATACCATTTATGTACTTTACCAGTGAAATAATTGATTAAAAATATGTGGGTGGCTCTTCAAAGTTGAAAGGTGAAACCGTGGAATCCAAATTCCTCGACTTTTGCTACAGTTTTGGCCTTTGGGGTGCTTAGGAAAAAAATGTGCTTGGGATTCTAGAATGGTTTGCTTCTTTCCTTCTTTCTTTTTTCTCTCTTTCCCACAAGCACCAGCACAAGCACTATTTTTTAGTTTATTCACAATAAGCTGCTGCTTCTGTTTTTCTTTTTTGCTTGTCTATTGAATTGGATTGGGGTGCTTCATTTGTGTCTTGGATCCATTTCTATGCGGTAAGACGGAAAAAAAGAAGAGAGAGCTTTTCTTCTTACTTATTCCCTTCAGAAAAGTTTGCAACTTTCTTCTGCATTTTATTTCTGGTTTTTTGTGCTTTATATGTTTATTCTTCTCTGGTATACATAATAGCAAGTAGTTCCCATTTTCGCTCTTATAGAGTTTTATATCTGAGTTGCTTGCATTGGTGGAAGCTGATTTATTGTCATAGAGTTCCATGTTTGACAGTTTTCTTTACCATGTTAGTTTCTGAATATTTTTTTTTTGGGATTTTTTCTGATATATTTATGCTTCTTTATTCCATCTTTTCCCTGCTTTATAATGCTGTTGTAATCAAGCTTTTAAAGTTAACTGTCATAATTGTGATTCAAAAAAGGGGAAAAAGTTTATGCCATGATTTGGATTGCTAACTACTAATTTACAGTTTATATCTCATTTAGATTCCTTGAGAATAAATGAAGAAAAAAGACAACGCAAAGTGGAAGGATATTTGTTCTTGTCTTTCTAGTTCATAACTCGGCATAGTTAGATTACATATATGAAAAATTAAAGATTCATCGTTACTTGATTAAGTTATTCGATTTTGACACATTCTGTTTTATTTCTCATTGCTGAAAATGCAGTCTCCGTTGTCATTTGTCTTATACGTTATTGTTTCTAGTTGAGGTAACAGATCGGTGGCTAACGGGTGATTGCATTCTTTCTGTTTGTTGATTTAATTCATCTTCTGTTCAGATTTCTAATGAAGTACAGATGGGGCAGTTTGGAGGATTATCGACTGTTTTGAGGCCGGAAATGGTGAAGAGGTGTGTCTGTTATTGATGCGTTATACTTGATTTGATGCATCCAATGGACAACACATTAGTTAGTGATCCGAAAGATGACAGGGGAAACGGAGATTCATTGTGCATTTTGGAGGACAAGAAGGATACATCAGTAGACTATGGAATGAATTGTTCCGGACTAAAACCGAAAAGGTTGGTTTGTCTGGTGAACCCACAGCATGCTCTGATATTAAATGTTGGAAGAATACAGGCAGGGAAAAGTCTTATAAATGGTTCATTGATTTGGGCTATTTTCGGCATAGGGAATACGATTCCAAGGCATGTGGTCACTCTACATGAGAAATATCTTCGTTGTTGCCTGGAGTTGATTCATATCAATGCAGAAAAAGTTGCTCAATGCAGTATCTCTGCGAACTTCAGCTCTGTAGACATTGGCATTGTATCTGATGGACTGAATTCAGCTAAAATTGGGGCTGAAAGTACGTGTGATTTCGGCAGCTTTGGTTTTGAATGTCTACCGGATATTGGCACTGGTAGTTTAGTCACTGGTTCTGCAGAACCGTGGATAGTAGGTTCGATAATGAGCTGCAGGAGCATGAAAAATATATTGGGAAGTCCATTGTTTCAGAAGTTGGGTGCATTCCATGTCAATCCAAGTTTGAATGATGCTAAAGGACTAATAAGTTATGACTTCATGAGCTCTCCGGGTGGTTTCAGTAATAAAACCTCGTACGACCTACGAAGTGAGACGCCAATATCGGATAATCATAAGTATGGATCTGAGACTGTTTGTAAAAGGCTTGTTTCCATGTCAAGTACAGACTCAACATGCTCGGATCAGTCGTTTTCTTCTCCTTGTACAACAATTTCTGAGGGAGTGCTTCAATGCATGTGGAATGGTGGGACTCCATACTTTGTTTTCTCCCTAGATAACCAGAGGGAGGTGTATTTAGCAAATTTGTCAAAAGAAGGAGCTGCTCGAAATAAGGGTTTGGACAATGTGTACTTGTTCCATTCGAGCAAGAGTAGCCATAAGGAACATCGGATTAGTGATAACGAATCACACCTTGTTGGTAAGATGACGATGTCTACTTCTTTCTCAATCTGTTCCCAAGATTCTAAAATCATGGAGACAGAGTTTGTTTTGTTCAGTGGCATGCAAACATCAAGGGATAATCACTGGACAAATAAGGGTCTATCGAAAAAGGTAGTGGAAGCATTCAAGGGTAGTCATTCATTGAAGCAAATAACGGTGTCAAGATTTCATCGATCGAGTTCCATGATGGAAGATTCTTCTTTGGGTCCTTGCAGAGATGCAGTTGGCAAATCGGATGCTATAGACCAGACAAAACTTTTCAATGAGCAACTTCCAACAAATCTTGAGCTGACAGCCGTTGTTGTGAGGGATCATTTACCTGAGGATTCTCAGGCGGAAGCAGGAGGTTGGGGCCTAAAGTTTCTCAGGAAACCGGTGGATATGCCCAACACCAAAAGTTCGGAAACCCTGGCTCGTTCAGTTTTTTCTTGTAGTACCAGTGATTGCTCAAGAAGTATGAATGTTCTAATTCCAGCAGGTATTCATGGTGGTCCAAGAACCAGAAATGGTGGCCCCTCTAGTCTTATTGAAAGATGGAGATATGGTGGACATTGTGACTGTGGTGGCTGGGACTTAGGGTGTCCGCTGACCGTACTCGAATCCAGGTCAAGTAAAGGCGGTTCACCTCCAACAGATATGCCCAACACTTGCAAGTTATTCGATTTTTCCATTCAGGTATCTCATTCTCACCTTCAATGTTTACCTAACTTATCCTCCATAGCATTTTCATGGTTAACAGACCTTTAACTTAACAACCTGAATCACAATACAGGGTCCCGAACATGGTTCTCCTACCTTGACGATATCGAAAGTTCACGACAGCCTGTATTTCATTCATTTTCAATCAACGCTCTCAGCTCTGCAGTCCTTCTCGGTTGCAGTGGCCTACATTCATACTCAGAGACCCACTCTTCGACCCAAAAGTGTACAGCAGCGTGTACGTTAAACTTTAGGTGTTATACATGAATTGGATAGATTATTTTTCTGCAGTCCTGCCTTCTAAAACAAGCAACAGAGTTGTTAGCTCGCCGTTTTTATGTTTTCTTGTGGTTTAGTTTGACTGTTTTTAGATTACGTAGATTGCTACCATTGATTGGGATTATTTTTGTTCCCTTTTGATTGCATGTATAACATGTATAAGAGATATCTTTGCATTTTGATTACCATAAATTGAATTTTTAGTAATTTTCTTGGGATTTTGCACACTTTTTAATCACCAAGAAGAGAACAGATGTAGAGCTTGAGGCCCATCTGCAACAGTTTGGGTCTTTCATTCGGTTAACATTCCTCATGTTTTCCAATATTAAGTATCTATAACAACCTTTATGCATTTTGGCAATGTAATCAAATAAACTTTCATGAAAACAACCTTTGACAACTACTTTAGCTAGTCCTTGGCAATATCATACTGTAAAGCAATCATTCTAACTAGGAATTGAAGAATTCCATGGAACAGAAATATAAACGGAGATTCAACAAGAGGAATGTAAAACCCTAACTGAAACCAGTTAAGGGGAAGAATAGAGAAAAAGGGAAAAGAAAGTCAACACGACTTCTTTACTTTCATTAATAAGCCACACTCCTTTACAAATGAATAAACGGATATTTATAATAACCCAAGCTCATCTAACTAACTCGGGCAGACCAAACCAACCCATAACTGAATACAAATCAGCTATACATACTAACAGGAATAAAGCTTGCAAACCATAACAAAAAGAATATGAAAACCCCACTCCCCTCGGTCATTCACCGCAGCTCCCCGATTTTCAACTTACCGGCCTGTATAAGAGAATGCTTGTTGAACATGTTCTCCAAGTTCACCGACATAAACATGCATTCAAGCAATGTCATTCCCATAATCCGGGGGATTACAATGAAATATTTATTCAAAATCTTTCTTAACAATTGATAACGTACCCATACCTTGCAAATGCAGCTGCACCTCTAGGAAAAACAACACTCTTTAACAATTTGAGCCATTTAATGGGTTATGATGGGATCAAGGCCATCTATGAGATTTTATGAACCGGAACGAACATAAAAATTAATCTTCTAATAATAAGTATCGAAAAAACTAAATTGTAAGAATAAGTAAAAATAAATAAATTTACTTTTATATTATTTTTTATTATGTTTAATGATCTATCTAATAAATACATCAAATTTTAAATAGAAATTATAAAAAAATACTAAACACTTAACTACCCACATAAAATAAGCATGATAATTTTTTAAGAGGGCTCACGTTCGATATCAACATTCTCCATATTGTCAAAAAATAATTAAGTAGAAAGTGAAAATAAAAGGAAATTATGAAACGTTAAATATGATTTTAACAAAAAAATAATTAAATTATCAAAATAAATAAATAACATGTGAATAACTAAATAATCTTTTTTTAATTATATGGTAACTTCAAAAATAAAAAAATTTAAATATTATCCTTCTATCCAGACTCAACTATGAGCCTTAATATATATATATATATATTAAATTAGTTTTCCACACTTTCATGATTTTTATATATTTTTTAAGTAAATAATGTGATAGTCGTATTTTAAATTTTATTATTGTAATTCATTTATGACAAATTTCCAATAAATATTAACAGTATAAAATGGATTGTATATGCCATGCCCATAATAATAGAGGCAATTCCCATATATAGAATACCTGGTTTTCACAAAGTGAGGATAAAACTTTATGTAAAAAAAGGTAAACTACATAAACGGTATTCAAACGTTTAGGACAGTTTCATTTTAGTCACCAAACTTTTAAAACTTATAATAAAATTACTGTACTTTTAATTCGATTTCATTATAATCATTATCCCTAAAATGACCGACATGACACGTTAAAATCATCTTCTTTCTTAAAAAATCCTCATTTTCTCAAACTAATCCGCAAAAATTGATCTCTTTTACTCGCACCGGCATTGTCTGACATTCTTTCTATCGTCGTCGCCTCTAAACATAACACCCACTATAATCAAGAGTTGTATCATCTTCCAATGACTGTCGAATAATTCATGACCATTATTTCATCCAAGTTCTAAACACCACAACCACAAGCTACAATCATCACTCGTGATCAGACCAATCTCGAGTTATTATTATAAATCTCATTCGATCACCATCTACAAACATAACCACCAATAGCAATAAAACGAATAAACAATTAAAAAAATAAAGAGAAAAGAGAAACATAATTATAATTAATCCCAACAATAAGAAGATTATGTTTAATTAGAAGAGTAACATAATTATAATTAGATTTGAAATTCAGATTCACTAGATAAATGATAACTGGAAACACACCCATAAGTTTCAGCTCAAGAGCCTCAATAAAAGCGCAAGGTATCTTCACCTCCCTAGTGTTACGGGTTAAAAACTTAGAACTTAGCTTTCTATTTTTCTGAGTTCCCAAATCCCATCTCTACTGTCTCTTAGTTTACCTTATTCTTGCACATCTTTGGCTGCTTTAGACACTCTCAACCAGAAAAACTGACAAATAAAAAAAAACATTTCATAATTCAATGCATCGATCGATGCTTTTCATTTACAAGGGCTGCTAGTGCAGCTAATGATATTGTTTAGGAACTCAAATCCATTCATAAACATTGCATCAAATACAATCATTTTATTCTTATTATCTGCATACAAACTATTTTGTCTCCACATTTCAGTATCAACCAAAACGTCGTTCTATTCACTCTTTTTGTTCATTTTGGCATGGTCCTCAAACAGACTCCCATCAAAACACCTCCTAGCAGCTTCTTTAGTCAGAAAACCATTCTCGTCCTTGGCTAAAAAATACAAAACCAACCACTCCGACTTGGCCAAAAACCTGCAATTCCATAATCAAACGCCACACATTTAAAACCATTCAACATTCAAACAAACAAAAAAAGAGGGTTGTCTAAACGGACCATCCAACCAAGTCGAATGGTAGGCGACATGCCTCAGTCATCCGCCACACCTCTGTGAATGTTAACTTATCGGGCTCTGTAAGTCCGTACTTACTGAACACGTTCTCCAGGTTTACTGGCATAAACCTACATTCAATAAATACCCATTTCTATAAATTAATTTCCAAGAATTCTTCTTCTTTTATGTTCCAAATTTATAAGTGCCTACCTTCCTTCGGTATCATATGTTGCGGAAGACGGCTATCGGATAGAGCAAAATCGCAACTGATAATTTGAGAAAATAAAAATGAAGATAAAAAGAGACACAAAATTTACGTGGAAAACCCCTAAATAAAATAGGGTAAAAACTACAGGCAACAGTAGAAGAATTTCACTATGAGGAAATAGGAATTACAACTTCTCTCGATCTACCAAGGAGAAAACAATGATAATTCTCTCTTAATAAAAAAGAGAAAACAACTCTCAAGAAACTCTCTAAATTCTCTATAGTATTAGACTAATCTTATAAATACCCTAAAGTCTAATGACTAAAATTAATTTTTCCATTCAAAATATTCAACACCTAATTCATGCATACCATTCCCTTTTTCAAAGTTTTAGGTGGATTTGATTTTTTTCCAATTCCAACTTTCGGTGGAAATTTATCAATTTTCAACAATCTCCCACTTGAAGATTTGATTGGAACAATCATATCTTCACACCATTCTTTCTACCTTGTACCATCATGTTGCTTACATTTCTTACAGACCACAAGAGGATCGACACCAAGTAAATTTATCAGTGTTGATCGCCTTTGTCATGAAATCTGCTATGTTATCTTTTGTATGGATCTTTTGCATATCTACCGTCCCTTCTTCTACCTTTTCACGAATTAAATGGTACTGAACTTGTATGTGCTTTGTCCTTGAATGAAATGCTGGATTCCTTGCTAAATGCAAGGTGCTTTGACTGTCACAAAAGAGAGAGACATACTCTTGATTGTGCCCAAGCTCCTCCAATAGCATCTTCAACCAAATTGCTTCTTTACTGGCTTGTGTAGCTGCTACATATTTTGCCTCTGTTGTGGATGTAGCCACAACTGACTGCAATTTTGAAACCCAACTTACAGCTCCACCAGCAACTTTGAACAGATACCCTGTAGTAGATTTGCTTTTATCCAAATCCCCTGCATAGTCAGAATCTACATACCCATTGATTAGTAAATTTGATCCTCCATAACATAATGCAACATTTGAGTCCCTTTGATGTATCTCAAAACCCTTTTAATTGTATTCCAATTCTCTTTTCCTGGATTCGCCATGTAGCGACTAACCACTCCCACTTCTTGTGCAATGTCTGGTCTTGTGCATATCATAGCGAACATCAAACTTCCCACTGCTGATGCATACAGTACTCGAGACATCTCCGTCCTTTCTTCTTCACTGCTAGGACTCATACTGGAGGATAATTTGAAGTTAATAGGAAGAGGGGGTAGAAATTGGCTTACAATCTTGCATGCTGAATCTTGACAAGATCTTCTTCAAGTAATTCTTTTGTGAAAGCCAAATCTTCCTATTACTTATGTCTCGGTGAATTTGCATCCCTAGAATCTTGTTTGCTGATCCCAAGTCCTTCATTTCAAATTCCCTAGCCATTTGTGCCTTCAATTCTTCAATATGATCTTTATTGGGTCCTGCAACCAATATGTCATCCACATACAACAACAATATAACAAAATCGTTATCACCAGACCTCTTGAAATAAGCACAAGGGTCTGCATTAAGTCTGTTGTATCCAAGGCACATAATGAAGGAATCAAATCTCTTATACCAACACCTCGGCGCCTGCTTTAGACCGTACAGATATTTGTTCAACCTACAAACCAAGTTCTTCTTTTCTTCTTCTTCAAAACCTTCAGGCTGGAGCATATAAATCTCTTCTTCAAGATTTCCATGAAGAAAAGCTGTTTTAACATCTAGCTGCTCTAGATGTAAGTTCAATGTAGCACACATTGCCAAAACTACTCGAACTGTTGTTAGTCGAACCACAGGAGAAAATATTTCATTGAAATCAATACCTTCTTTTTGAGCATATCCTTTGACCACCAGTCTTACACGATATCTCTCAACTTGATCGTTACCATTTCGCTTGATTTTGAAGACCCATTTGTTACCAATTGGCTTCCTTCCTTGTGGTAGTGGCACAAGGTCCCATGTATTATTTTTTATGTAGGGCTTCAATTTCTTCTTGCATCGCCATCACCCACAGTGAAGCATTTGAGTTGTTTATTGCCTCCTGGTATGTTGATGGCTCACATTCCTCTGTTAAAAGGCAGTATGCAATATTACCTTCTATAACATAATCTGAGTGCCAATTGGGACGTCTTCTTACACGATCTGATTGACGAGTTGTTGGTGCTTCAGAACTCTCTGGTTCTTGTTCATCATGTGCTGGTTCTGCTTCTGAAGAATCTCCTTGTTCAAACTCCTTTTCCACATTTATCTGTGTAGTCTCTGACTTTTCAGTGCTATCATTGTCTTATTTTCTTTGTAGTTTATCCTCTACAAAGATAACATCCCTGCTGATGATCACTTTGCGGGCAGTGGGATCCCACAAGCGATACCCCTTGAATCCATCAGCATACCCCAAGAATTTGCATTTCCTGGATTTTGGATCCAGCTTTGAGATTTCTTGGGAGTTGTACATCACGTACACAATAATTCCAAATATATGGAGGTTTGAATAATCAGCTGGTTTACCAGTCCACATCTCCATTGGTGTCTTCAGCTCTATTGCAGTTGATGGAGCTTGATTCACCAAATAACAAGCGGTATTGACTGCTTCTGCCCAACATGATTTTTCTAGGCCTGCGTCCCTCAACATTGCTCTTATTCTTTCTAACAAGGTTCTGTTCATCCGCTCTGCCACTCCATTTTGTTGATGAGTGTTTACCACTGTGAACTGTCTTTTGATGCCTTCTTTCCTGCAAAAGTCATCAAATTCTTCGCTTGTGTATTCTCCTCCATTATCTGTTCTGAAACACTTGATCTTATTTCCAGAATCAAGTTCCACCCGCGCTTTGAAGATTTTGAAAGTTGAAAACACATCTGACTTCTTCTTAATAGGATACACCCAACATCTCCTAGAGTAGTCATCAATAAATGAGACAAAGTATTTTGCTCTACCTATGGATGTAACTGGTGCTTGCCATACGTCAGAATGAACCAATTCTAGAACATTTTTGCCTCTAGAATTTGACGTGTTGAATTTCAACCGGTGTTGCTTACTTGTTATACAATGCTCACACAAAGGAAGTGATATCTTTGTTAAGCCGGGAAGTAGCTTTTGTTCCACAAGGACTTTCATTCCTTGTTCTGACATGTGTCCAAGTTTCTGATGCCATAGCATTGCAGAATCTGAACTACATGAGGCAACAAAGGCTTCTGCTTCTAGCAAAGTCTCTCCCTTCAGCATGTACAAGTTTGCTGTTATCTTTTCGCCTTTCAGCACCACAAGCGCTCCACGGAACACCTTCATGATTCATTTCCGTGTTTCAATCTTGCTTGCATTATTATCCAACAATCCGTAGGATAATAAATTTTTCTTTAGGCCTTTCACGTGCCGCACATCTCGAACAACTTTAATTGTTCCATCATACATCTTCAATTTGATGGTTCCCACGCCAATGATCTTTAAGGCATGATCATTGCAACTATACACAGATCCTCCTGAGACAGGTTCATACTGATGAAACCATTCTCTTCTTGAGGTCATATGATATGTTGCTCCTGAATCAATGAGCCATGTATCTGTAAATCTTTTTCTTCCTTCCACGGTGGTTGACGCTTCACAGCATAGTGCATCTCCATCATCTGAAGTGTTTGCGGTATTGCCTTGTGGATTGGAGTTTTTATTTAGACTCCAACAATCCTTCTTCAAGTGACCCTTCTTTCCACAATGGTAGCACTTTAAATTCTTCTTGCTCCTCGACTTCGATCTACCATGTTTATGACTGCTGCTTTGGCCACATTCTGTTGATCTCCCTCTCATCGTTGTCAACGCTTCTGCTTGTTGCAGATTTACTTGTCTGTCTTCCTTGTTCTTGCGCCAATTTTCTTCTTGTAGAACAGCAGCTGCAACATTATCGAAGACTGGACTGGTGACATTACTGTTTGTCAAGTTGATGATGAGTTGATCGTATGAATCCGGTAGACTTTGAAGTAGAAGTTCAGCATGTTCTTGTTCTCCTATTTTACAGCTTAAGGATGTAAGCTAAGAAAATAAGGTGTTCAGTGTATTTAAGTGCTCCGTCACTGAAGTAGATTCTGACATACGGAGAGTGTACAATTTCCTATTAAGGACAATTTTATTGTGCAGCGATGTGGCCTTGTACAATTTGGTAAGATGATCCCATATCTCCTTAGTTGTCTTTTTCTCCTCGATGCTTGACAATACTTCATCTGCTAATGCTAGATGAAAGTTTGCCATAGCATTTCCGTCCATCTTGTTCCATTTGATGTCATCTGCGAAATCCACCGGCCTTTCATTGATAGCTGCTAGACACATGTCTTTCCTTAGGATGGCCTTCATCTTCAATTTCCACAATGAGAAATTTCTCCCATTGAATTTTTCAATATCAAATTTCGTTGCCATAGCTTCTTTTACGGATAACTCCCACTATTTCACTATCGTGAATAGTTCTCTGGAATCTTCAAAGAATAGGTAATAACTTCTTATTTTCTTATGTTGGAGGATCCACCTTTTGGTGGCAACCACAAAGATAATAAGTAGATATTACAAACTCTAATCTAGCTCGGATACCAATTGTTGCGGAAGAAGGCTATCGGATAGAGCAAAATCGCAACTGATAATTTGATAAAATAAAAATGAAGATAAAAAGAGACACAAAATTTACGTGGAAAACCCCTAAATAAAATAGGGTAAAAACCACAGGCAACGGTAGAAGAATTTCACTATGAGGAAATAGGAATTACAACTTCTCTCGATCTACCAAGGAGAAAACAATGATAATTCTCTATTGATAAAAAGGAGAAAACAACTCTCAAGAAACTCTCTAAATTCTCTATAGTATTGGAAGAAAGCTAGAATGTTTTGGGATGATTTTGAAGCTAAATGAGCTAGGGTATTTATAGTTAAATTTTAAGGACTAATCTTATAAATACCCTAAAGTCTAATGACTAAAATTAATTTTTCCATTCAAAATATTCAACACCTAATTCATGCCTACCATTCCCTTTTTCAAAGTTTTAGGTGAAATTTATTTTTTTCCAATTCCAACTTTCGGTGGGAATTTATCAATTTTCAATAGCTGAGTCACTTCCATGCTTTGCTTTGTGTATTCTTTCTATGTATATGGGAAATAACAGATCTGGAATCCAATACTTTCAAATTTTCCAATGCACCAATATCAGCCATTTGGTGGAATATATTTCATACATGGATGGATCCACTTATTTAAAATTGTTTTACATTTTTATAATCCTTTTACAAAATTAATATCAATCTAAGTATATTTTTGACTCATTTTGACACTTCTATTTAGGGGTGAGCAAAACTAAATTTTCCAATGGTTAATTTTCAAGTTCGATTTAAGTCCCTCAATTATGCATAATATATGCATGTCATGTATGAAAAAATATATATGTATATCGTATATGGTTATAGAAAATAGTTTATATTGGAAACAAATAGTACTATATCGTTATAAATATTTACAATTAAATTTAAACAAAAATTCAAACAACTCGACTCGACTCGACTCAAATTTTAAAAACTTGACTCGACTTAAACAAAATTTCAAATGAAGTTTAAGTTATAAAATAAGACTCGTAAACTCAATAAACTCAAAAAAATTCATATACAAGAGTATCGATTTATAATATTTTAAGTTTGTAACACTACTTTAACTTGACAATAGTGCATATATAAGAAGGAATCAATTAAGAAATCGTGTAAAAGTAGTTTTATATAATATACTTTTCTATTTTTTTTTCATATTTTAATGATTTGATCATTAGATTTCAAATTTTATTTAATAGATCGTTCATGTTAAATTTAAAATAAATTAAATATGTCCGATAAATATTTTATATATTAAATGTGTATTGATTCTAAAACAAGATAAAATACATTCAATTATTACAGTTAAAATGTTATCATATTAAGTGTGTGTGTGTGTGTGTGTGTGATAGTAAAACTTACCGGTTGAGTGGAGTAACTCATAGATAAGTGGATTATCAGTGCTAACAAAAAAGAGGGTAACCGATGGAAACCAACATCTCGAATACCTAAAATTTATGTTTAAAATTTTTGAAAACTTTAGGCCTAAATATTAAAGAAATTGGAGATGGAAATGAAGGGGAAATTATTTACCAAGGCAAGTGTCCCAGGGTTGTATAACACCATCCTTGTTTTTATCAAAGAAGGCAACATGTTGTTGAAGAACACTCATTCCATTATTCTCATGCCCTACCGTTCCTTCTGGATTATCCACGTCAGGAGCTACCAATGCTCTTGCCAAATCTATTTCCTTACAAGAAAATTAATTACAATTATAATTATATTTTTTTGTCGTGTTATGTTTATTGCGTATGTAGACATAACAGGGGTTATTGCAGCCATTACGAGTATTTTACTCATGATTTTTTTTTTGTAGTTGATTGATTTTTATTTAAACTAGAATAGAAGAATAATAGTGGGAATAGCAGCCCATTGTTGCTGCAATTGGTCGCTATATGTTAAATTACAGCTACAATCCACCGTTATTGGTGTGATTTCGCTTCACGCCGCTATTTTTCGCAATAACGATTTCGGACGTTAATGCTACCCTTATATAATAGTTGCTATTTAAATCTATGGTCCAAATAATCGTGCAGAAAATAAATAAATAAAAATTAAAAAAATTACATGGCTTTGGTAAGCATATTTCTAAGTCATCTCGAATTTTTCTTTCGCCAGTGACTGGTGCTGTGGGTGCTGCAGTTGCCATGGATTCATCATCCTTCACCATCCTTTTTTTTTTCTTTTTCAAGTTGTGAGCTTTAGAGAAAAAATGAAGGTACTTGCAAAGAGAATTTGCAATTATTTATATATAAAATTGGTTGTGATGCAAATAATAATTTAAATTTTCAATTCTCAGATAACTTTACTTCGATAATATTTTTGGGGTAATCTCATATTTGATAGCTGTATTTCTTACAAAATGTCTAATATGGTATCTATACTTTTAGAATATTTCATGTGATACCTGCATTTTTACAAAAATATTTAATGTGCTACTTGTACTTTTAAAAGGTTTATGTGGTGCTTGTACTTTAATAAAATATTCAATGCAATACTTGAATTACCATTTTCTGTATTATTATAGTACTTATGAATTTTTATTGATGGATTCTCAAGTACCATTAATAATAAAAAAAATTATGTTAAGGTACAACACTTGTTAAATGTGTTAACTCGGGTAATATAATAATACACGGGATAATAATTCATGCATTATATTAAATATTTTAATGAAGTACAGATATTATATTGGATATTTTAAAATTAAAATTATTATATTAGACATTTTTATAATACTCGGAATTTATTTAAATATCATAATATATTGACTTAATATCAAAATTTACGTCTTCAATTGTACTTTAAAATATTGCCCTCTCATGAATGCGAATTTATTAATAGAACCAACTTTTTATTAAAAGTATGATTAATTCGTTTTTGAAAAAAGTGGGTTCACTCAATTTCATTTCTAAAACGATGTTCTTTTACTTTGACAAATTAACGATAATTATCATCCAACAATTTTAGGATATTATCTTATTAATTCTCTAATAAAGTTAACGTCACCTTAAATTTTAATAGAAAGCTAAAACATGTAATACCAACTATTAAATGCTATGAATGAGGCATATAAAGTGCTTGCAATAATAAAAATGGAAATGATGTACGGTGATATTAAATATTTTTTTTTAATAACATAAATAATTTTTATTTAAAATATTGAAAAGATCATTTGAATATAAAGAAGAATATCTATCTATTCTTTCGATAATCTTTGAATCACTTTCTAATGATTTAGGAGTTCATTCCATGGATTACTCTCATAAAATACATTGTCTCGATTTATATATAGTATATTACAAACTATATTATTAAGAAAAGTAATAATATATAGTATAATTTAAAACTTGAAATTAAATTACTATAACAATAATAAAAAATCAACAATCAGTTGGTTTAGTGGGATGATGCAATAGATTCCTTAAGCAATATCATGTGTTCGATGTAACGCCCATAGCTCGTATATGTCTCAAAATACGAGTTAAAGATGTCACATCAACTTTACAAGCATTCATTGATCGTAAATGGTTAAAATTTTGTTCCATTATAAAACATTTCGTTATTAACTTTACAATTATTCCATTGATTGTGTAAAATCATAAAATAATAATAATTATCATATAAATCAAGCTTAATTTTAGGCAAAAGTTTAGTAGTTCAATAGTAAACATTTCTTATTCGTATACATGACATCTAGAAAATTTAAAATAATATGATGTCATTACTGATACATGTAGTTGTTCTTTGTTGATTGATGCCAACTCGACTCCTTACTTCACTTGCCCTTATTTACCTACACGTGAAAATCATCACACGCTAAGTATTCACTTAGTGAAACATTATAAACAAACTAAGATGACATAAAATATTAAACAACTTAACAACATCATAACATTATTTTTCTTTATATAAAGCTTGGCTTAAAATATCATAACAATTCAAAACATTAAACTTAAATTCAAATAAAATCATTAAATATCCAAACCGATTTATTCAAATCGTCTTTCCTTATCATAGACCTGAAAGTCATCATCTTATGATTTTGTCAAAACAATGATAATCAATAATAAACATAACAATCATATCATACTCTATTTCATTCAAATACTTTTCAGAACTTTTTTTTCCTCATTTTTCACTTTCATATTCATTTTCATATTCCATGTTCATAATAAATACTTTAACATTTTAGAATTTATTTTCTGAATCAAAACTTATTTTCAGACTCATAGCTTACTGTCAGATTCATAGCTTATTTTCAAAGTCATAGCTTATTTTCAAATTCATAGCCTAATGCATATTTATGAGAATGCAAGGTAAGTGAGTAGAACATAAGGTGCACACAGGGAACATCACGGTGCCAATCTTAAATAACATCTTTATGTTTTGGCCAATAATTTGTATATATACACTTTGATGGATCTAAATTCAAGATCCTCATTTTATTTCTTTACTCCTACGTAAGTATTGCTTGTAAAATCTTTATCAACAACTTTTCTATTTATTTTTGAATGAAAAAAAAGTAGAGCCTTAACTAATTAGTAGATTTGCAATACATAGACTTCATGCAGTCACGTTGGAGAAGATGTTTCGACTCCGTCGGAGGTTCGTTTAGAGTCGTCAGAGTATTATCAAGCTCGTTATGGAGCTTAGCAAGGGTGTTAGTGGAGCGGTTTCCCTCTCTTGGGGTCCATCTAATTTTCGTCATCCAAGCAATAATTTCCTATTTTGGTTCCATTGTCTTCTTGTAATGACATAACTTATTAATATCTCTTCATTGTTTTCATTTACCTCAAAATCTTCTAAAGTTGTATTATTAGTTATGTCTTAGGTCTCTTCAGGAGCACCCACCTATGTTATATAACCATCTTATACTACTTCTCTTTTATGATAATTTTGACTACTAGAATCAATTCAATTATCATACTTCAGACATGATTTACGTTCATTCGCTTTAACATATTATCTTCATGAGATTTCAATTCAAATTTTAAAGCATTTTCAACTGGTACATAAGATTTGATTACTATCATTAGGTTAATAAATATTTGTAGCAGTTGATTTGTGATGAATTATCTTATAAACATTCGGTTCACATCATTATGTACAAGGATCTAGATAAAATGATAATTCATTTAACTTTTTCATCTAATTGATTGTTTTCTCGAACAACAATAAATTTTTCATTAAATTTTTCTTCATCGAATGATTTGTGACGGTCAATAGAAGGAGGTCAAAGACTTATTGAAATGAGTGTATCAAGCGCATGGCTATCAAATGAAGGTGAAGACTTCATAGATTTTATTTCTGCAATACGATTTCAAGCATGAGAAGCTCAGAACGGCTTTAGAAAGTTTAAGAGTTATATCTCCCCTGATTTTTAAGTATAGAGGAGAGAGAGAAGAAAAGGAATAAAGAAGAGAAATTTTTTTCTTCAATTTTTTTCCTTAAACGTCGGTCAAAAGCTTTAGAAAGTTAAATGTGTGGAAAATATTGTCAAGTAATTAGTTTAATACCGTCACATTAGTATTTCGTTATTGTAGTAACGACTATCAGCGACGAAAGATTGATTTGTTATAAATCGATAATATTAATGACCAATGTATTATGTTTAAAATTTTAGTGAGAAAAAAATTTACTAAAAAATTAATGATAAATTTATGAAATTCACCCTAAATTTAGATTTTTCTTAACACGATGACTTAATTAATATTTTATAAGGACTTTTTAGATCAATAAACATAAGCCAATTTTTTCGAGAAGGTAAAACAGATTTTTCCATCCCGAAATTGAAGGAAAAATCTTGAAAATCCCTCTACTTATTGGTAAAATATGAATATTGTGCGTGACAAATATTAAATACCAAATTAAGATTATCAATCCAACTTATAATATTTAATAAAAAATCCAACTTATAATATAATGACAACAATAATTTTTATTAAAATAAAATCATGGTCCTATTCTTTCTTAATAATTTTGATTGAGATAAATTTATTAAGTGATTTTAGAAGTAAAAAAGAAATATTATTTTCATTAAAAAGTTTGAGTTCAAGCAGTACTATTTATAAAATGTGTGAATGTTATCAATAATTAGATAAATATAAACATTTTATCTTTTAATCACTTTAAATTATTTAAAAAATTGATCTTGATTGATACAAAGAAAAAATTGTGGTTCCAACCCAATTTTGATCTCGACAAAAGTACACCATGCAAAAGGAAAATAAAAGTATGGATTTTTGAATAGATATACTTGTCAAAATTAGCCCATAACGTTTATCAAAATAATTATTTTTACCCATATTCTTTTTTTTAGAATATTTTGGATATCGATGTTTCATTTTTGGGAATAAAGACTCATAACGATTGACTAAATAGTCATTTTGTCTCTTATTTTTTAGTACATTTTGACTCTTAATATTTCATTTTAGGATAAAAACCCATATTTTAGAGCGTTTTTCGCTTGTTAAATAACCATTTCTATCCATAGAAAGACTTTTTTTTTCCTCAAAATAAAACATTAAGATTCAAAATATTTTTTTTAAAAATAAGGGTCAAAATGACTTTAATTTTTTTTAAAACGTCATGCCATATGAATAATCATAAAGCTAAAAAATGGGCTTTCAGAAAGTAGAACAAAAGCCTTGGAGCACAGAATAACCCAGCTACTACAATACTAAAAGTCCATTAACAATAGAAAGCCCCAAACTACAAAAGATTATATGATATCCAAATTGAACCCATCTGCTCTACTTTTCTACTTATCCTGAAGGGGAAAGAACAACAAACATATAAAAACTTATGGCAACCGAGGCGGCGGAGGAAGTTCCCGTCCCTGCAGCGGTGGCGGAAGCAGCCGCAACAACAGGAGCTGAGAAGCAGCCGCACAAGCTTGAAAGAAAGTGGGCCTTTTGGTTTGATAACCAATCTAAACCTAAACAAGGAGCTGCTTGGGGTATCACTTTACGCAAAGTTTACACCTTTGACACTGTTGAAGAATTTTGGTGGTACTTTTATCAAAAACCCATCTCCTTTTTATGTAATTTTTAAAAGATCTATTGATTTAGATTGGGTTTTCTTTTCTCTATTGAAAAGATAAAATATTCTCCATTTGGGTTTTCATTTTTGGGTAGATACTAATTGATTAATTTGAGATTTGGTTTGTTTAATAGGATAAATGCGTTTCCTAAGGTTGAATTTTATTGGAGTTTGCTGTTTTTCATTATATGTAATATAATCTGA